TGGAAACGCCGTGTTGCGGAAATACCCGACCGCGGCCTAAAAATACCCGACCGGGTATTTTTGAGACCCGGCCGGGTATTTTCACTTCAAAAGTGAACACCCAATCGGCCCTCTCTCTCTCCTCTCATTTTTTTTCAGAACACTCTCTCTCTTTATTCTATCTTCCTCTCCTTCTCGTCAGAGAAAATTTTTCTCGTCGAAGTTTCGTAGATCCCGTCATTGTCTGACCTCCGATTTAAAATCCGTTTGCGGATTCGGGATCTACTTCGCAGGGCGCACCTTCGCCAGAAATTTCTCCCACATCGGGCGAGTTTCAATTTTCCGGCCTCCCAGCCGCCGCCTTCCGGTTGCCGTCGCCGCTGGCGACTTTTACGGCGACCCTCCCGGGTTGTTTTCTCAGTGTTTTCGCGTCCCTCACCCCTTATTCGCGTCCCTCTACGGTCCTACTTGTGTTTCCATATGTGTTTCTTACTTGTTTTTTTTCCTGGAAAATCGGACTGTAGATGTTAGGACCGAGAACTATGAACTGACTGGAATGTTTGAATTAGAATAGGGTGAGGGATGTTGTCGTTATGAATAACTAATGCATGTTGGATTCCCATTTGCTTAAATGTGTCGTTTTGACATGATTCCTGCTTGAGTTGCGGTTGTTTTGCGTGCACATCGATCGTCTGTGCTTGATTGCTTACCCTAGGTGGTCCTTAAGTGTGAGGGAACTGTTGAACACATGCTTCCAGTCCTAACGAGTATCTTCCTGGCTCCACCTTTGGTTTGTTGATTTTGCAGGATCATGTCTCTCGACCATCCTTTTGTGCAGGGCCTGCGCATGCACACGGACTACGCTGACCAATTCGGCCGGGTCACACTCGGGGTGCTTCAGCGCCCCCACCACTTGGAGTGAGGTGTTTTCCACCAGCTCCACTGCCTGAACAAGATCTCCACCGTCATCCGCCACCCTGACTGGCGGGTCTTGCTACGAATTCGGGAGCCCACTTACACGGAGCTGGTGTGGGAGTTTTACACCACATTCCAGTACCGCTCCAAAGCGGCCCGGGACTCCCCCACCGGTGTCACCTTCCGGTTTGGCAGGCACATGCGGGAGATGAGCATCGACGGGCTGGCCCAGGCATAGGGCATCCACTACCACCCATTCTCCCGCCATGAGATTGAGATCCCCCATCCGAAGGACTGGAACCAGGATGCGTTCTACCGCCGCATATCTTGTCCTGACTTCCGGATGGACTACTTCGATGCCGGCCAGACATACGTCTCCACCATCCGGCCAGAGTGGCACATCCTCAACCTCCTGATCACCCGCTCGATCGTCCCTAACACCACTGGTTCCCACAAGATATCGAAGCGGGTGCTCTACGCCATGTACTCGATGGGGCGCCCGGATCACATGCTGCATTTGGGTTCTTTCATTTCCACCACCTTCACTCGGTGCCACGGGAAACCCAACCACCTATTGTGTGGTCCCCTTATCATAAAGCTGGCGCACCACTTCCAGATTGACTTGGCGGGACTTACTGATGCCACAACACAGGGTGGCTCCACCCCTCTCCTGCTTGCCTCGGCTGGGGCGCGATCCTGGGTGGATGGCTTGTCCATGCATCCCCATGAGGACGAGGATGATGATGATGAGGACGAGTAGGACGAGAACTACACCGGCGCGAATGAGGCCGAAGATGATGATGATGATGATGGGGGTGCTATGGATGCTGATGATCCGGAACCCCCGTTATCCCCTCCAGTGGATCTTCAACCACGACGAATACCCGAGCGAGGCCAATCCTCCTCCGGTCCTTCTGGTCCATCGATGGCTTCTGGTCTGTCAACGGACTTCTTCACGAAGTAGATTCACCAGATGGTGCTCCAGTTTCAGCAGCTCAGGGTCCAGAATTAGCAGCTCATGGACCATCAGGTCTAGTTTTACCAGCAGTATTCGGCCCACCAGGCCGAGTACAACTCTCGGATGACGGTTCTAGACGAGCACCTCGACGAGATGGAAACTCAGCAGGGAGTCACCAGTGCTCGCATCGAGAGGGAGCGGGCTCGCAACCGCCGGATGATGGAGTATCAAGAGCACCTGCTCCAGTCCTGCCATCCGCCACAGGAGAACCATTGGACTACCAGGTGGGACCACTCCCCACCACCACCTCCAGACGGGGTCAACGACCTCATGAAGCAGATCGACTTCGACCAGCTTGAGTAGGCTGTACTCACTGGCTCGTTTGTGTTTTTTTTTTATTTATTCGGATTGCAAACTGGCTTTTGTTTGGTTTGTTTTCTTTTCTTTTGAATGATGTACTATTGGGCTGATACTTGACCTAACGTCTCTGTGCTTGAGTGATTATGTCTTCTTTAGCCGTGCCTCTGCACTGACTGGTCCCATTCCAGTATGCTTCACTCCGACTGGTCCACCTTCCAGTCCCACTGCAGTCTGCGTATACTGGTAATCAACTGACTGGTCACATTCTAGACTGCGGGTCAAGTTCTGAAATCAACTTATGGGCCAAAAGCAAATGGTGCAACTGTTTCAGTACCGATGGGCCATGTCGAAAGGCCAGAGAAATTGAGCGGTGCGAATTTCAAAATGTGGCAACAGAAGATGTTGTTCTACCTTACCATGCTAAATATGGCGAGGTTCATAACAGAAGATACACCTCAAATCGATGAGCAAAGTGATGCTCAGACACTCACGATAGTCCTTGCATGGAATGACTCCGACTATTTGTGCAGAAATTATATTCTGAACTGCTTGGTTGACAGTCTGTACAATGTGTACAATATCAAACCAATTGCCAAGGACTTGTGGCGCGCATTGGACCACAAGTATAAAACAGAAGATGCTGGTGCCAAGAAGTTCGTCATTGGCCGATTCTTGGAGTACAAAATGGAGGATACAAAGACTGTGGCCATCCAGGTGCTAGAACTGCAAGCGATCATGCATGAAATTGAAGCTAAAGAAATGATCATCAGCGAATCATTCCAAGTAGCTTCAGTTATTGAGAAACTACCTCCTGAATGGAGAGAGTTCAAGTCTTACTTGAAGCACAAGCAAAAGCACATGAGCTTTGAGCAACTCACATAGAAGAAAATAACAAAAGGTCAGAGAAAAAGAACATCGAGTTGGCAAGTGCCAACATTGTGGAGACTTCAAAGGGTTGCAAGTTCAAGAATAACAAATTTGGAAGGGTGCTCAAACTAGTAATCAAGAAGAAGATTCAAAAGAATAATAAACTCACTAGGGTATGTTTCAACTGCGATGGAGTTGGTCACAAGTCTGCTGATTGCAAGAAGCCAAAATGCCAATACCCTCCAAATAATGAAGTCAATGTCATTTCCCATAATGTTGATGACATGGATCTATGTGGTTTGTGAAGTGAACCTTGTTGGTTCGAACTTCAAGGAATGGTGGATTGACACTGGTGCCACAAGGCATGTTTACCACATTTGCAGCTGCCATGGATGGTGAGAAGCTGTTCAGTGGGAAATTCTGCAACTTCTGCAATTGAAGGTCAAGGGCAAGTGATCCTCAAATTGACTTCTGGGAAAGAGTTGACTCTTAACGATATGCTTTATGTGCTTGAGATTCGCAACAACCTTGTGTCCGGTTCTCTGCTGAATAAGCATGGCTTTCGCATGGTGTTTGGGTATGATAATGTCATATTGGCTAAAACTATGATGTATGTGGGTAAGGGATATGTTAGTGATGGCTTGTTTAAGGTAAATGTAATGACTTTCAAGCCTAAGATGAATGAGAATAAAATTTCTTCTGCTTACCTGATTGAGTCGTCCAATGTATGGCATGGTCGATTGGGACATATTAATTATGATACACTACGAAGATTAATTAATTTGGACCATATACCTATCTTTAGCATCGACTCAAAACATAAGTGTGAAACTTGTGTTGAGGCAAAATTAACAAAATCATCCTTCCAGAAAGTGGTAAGAAATACAGAGCCTCTAAATCTGGTACATATTGATGTATGTGATTTGAAATTTGTTCAAACTATAGGAGGCAACAAGTACTTCATCACATTTGTGGATGATAGTACGAAATATTGCTATGTATACTTGCTTAAAAGAAAATATGAGGCAATGGATAAATTTATTCTCTACAAAACGGAAGTTGAGAATCAACTAAATCGAAAATTAAGATGGTAAGAAGTGACCGTGGAGGTGAATATGTGGAACCATTAGGTGAATTTTGTTCATAACAGGTTATTATTCATGAAGTCAAACCACCTTATACTCCCAGCAAACGGAGTAGCTGAACGTAAGAATCACACTCTTAAAGAAATGATGAATGCGATGTTGATAAGTTCAGGACTACCTCAAAACATGTGGGGTGAAGTTGTCCTATCAGAAATTTATAGGCTAAATTACACGTTTGGTCACTCAAATTATACAAATCTTTCACGTTTGCCACCCGAATTACTTTTCTTTCTTATTCGCCACTAACTTTAAGAATCGTTTCACGGTTGGTCACCGGCCGTTACACTCCGTTAAGTTTGTCCTACGTGGCAGTCAACTATAAAGTTTGACCGTTAACTAGATGACGTGGAAATTAAAAAAAATAAAAAAAATTTCTTTCCACCTCATCATTGCACTTATTTTGTCTATATAATTTATCATATTAATAATTTAATAAAATTTAATAGATTACAAAAATGGACACCCAGAGGCGCGAAGACCGGAGCCATGAGTGGACGTCGGCGGCCCAGTTATCGAGGACGAGATTGAAGTCGGAAAACCGAGGCTTCCCCTTCAGCGTGACGCTCCTAATCCTCGGTAACCGTCGGACGACGATCTCTGGCGAGACGGAGTAGCTGTTCCCTATGAATACGTGGCGACAGGACCAACTATCGGCGGCGTACCAGTCAGGTAAATTCATTGGAATTCATCTTGATTATGGATAATCGATCTTATTTCATTTTGCACGTCGTCACTGACCTTTTGTTTGTCTATGGTTCTTTTCCTCTTTTTCTTGTAGGTAATCAACAATGCTTGCGCAACCCAGAAAATCCTGTCCATCCTAATGAACTCTGCTAACATAGATATCGGTCCTGAATTATCGAAACTGAAAGAATTCACCAAGAACTTCCCACCAGAGCTCAAAGGCTTAGCCATCAACAATAGTGAAGCTATACGTGCGGCTCACAACAGTTTTGCAAGACCCGAGCCTTTCATCTCTGATGAACAGAAAATCGCTGGAAAAGACGATGATGTGTACCACTTCATCAGTCTCGGCCAGTGCTCCAACGACCTTGATTGGCTCAAACTGGTTGGACCGGTGATACAGGAACGCATCGAGAGGTATGCCTAAGGGTGGCTATCTGTTTTCGTTGTCGTTAAACAAGTTTCGGGTTTACATTAGCAGTTTTTGCCTTTATGTTGATATAAACTGAAAAACCATAATATGCCTGAGATCCAAAGATATTGATTTAAATCACTATAAACATGAAGGGAGAACTAAATTTTAGCCGTTCTCGCGCCTGATGAGATGACTTGCCTCCTATACTTTGTATGTCTGTTTGTTTTTAACTGTTTTTGTGAGTGGAGTTCTTTTGGCCATTTTGTACTCTAATCTCATCGATGCCTTTAACAACCACCTAGGTATGCCAAGAGCGAGATAAGGTTCAATCTCTTGGCGGTGATCAAGAACAGTAAAAAGATGTACACCGCCGAGCTGAAGGAGCTCCAGAGGCAGAGGGAAAGGATCCTGGCAGCTTCTCAAGCTGAAGGGGCCAGCGGGGGCAGCTACGAATCGATGAGCAAGTCATTGTCCGAGTCGTTGTCCGAGGTGAACAGTGGGATCGAGACCACAACTGCAAAGATCCTGATGGAGGAGGAGAAGTTCAAGAAGTGGAGAACCGAGAACATTAGGAGGAAGCACAATTACATCCCGTTCCTGTTCAACTTCCTCAAGATCCTTGCTGAGAAGAAGAAGCTCAAGCCTCTGGTCGAGAAAGCTAAGCAAAAGGCTGGCAACGCCAAGTGAAACAAAGACCAATGGTAAACTCTATCGGACGACTTCAATCCAGTCTGTACCTTGTTTTTGTGTCATTTGAAAACTTCTTTTGTTTAAGATTTCTATCTATGGCTTTTTGGATGCTCTAGAATGCATATCTTCAAGCAGAGTTACCGAGTTCAGATGAGGCAGTGGAGATCTCGCTCCTGATTCTTGTAACTGGTACGCCGCCGATAGCTGGTCCCGCCGCCACGTATTCATCAGGAACTGCTACTCCGTCTCGCCGGAGATCGTCGCCCGCCGGTTCCCGAGGATCAGGAGCGTCACGCTGAAGGGGAAGCCTCGATTTTCCGACTTCAATCTCGTCCCCGATAACTGGGCCGCCGACGTCCACTCATGGCTCCTGGTCTTCGCCTCTAGGTGTCCATTTTTATAATTTATTAAATTTTATTAAATTATTAATATGATAAATTATATAGACAAAATAAGTGCAATGAAGAGGTGGAAAGAATTTTTTTTTTTAATTTCCACGTCATCTAGTTAACGGTCAAACTTTATAGTTGACTGCCACGTAAGACAAACTTAACGGAATGTAACGGCCGGTGACCAACCGTGAAACGATTCGTAAGGTTAGTGGCGAATAAGAAAGAAAAGTAATTCGGGTGGCAAACGTGAAAGATTTGTATAATTTGAGTGACCAAACGTGTAATTTAGCCGAAAATTACATTTTGAATAAGGTACCCCGGAAAGAAAGGGATAAAAATCCATATGAACTATGTAAAGGAATCAAACCTTCTTACAAATACCTGAAAGTGTGGGGGTGCCTCACAAAAGTGTTGATACCAGCACCAAAGAAGGTGAATATTTGGCCAAAGACTGTTGATTGTATATTCATTGGATGAATCTAACAATCCCGAGATTCACAAGCTGGTACAATCTGGTACATCCAAACAAACCTATGATAAGATGGGTGAGGAAGAAATGGATCAAGATTGTGAAATGGAGGTTGAATTAAGACGTAGCAAAAGAGCTAGAACATAAACAACTTTTGGTCCAGACTTTTTGACGTACTTGCTTGAAAGTGAATCTCAAAGCTTTAAGGAAGCTATGAATTCTCCTGATGGACATCTGTGGAAGGAAGCCATCAAAAGTGAGAGATTCAATCTTACAAAAATCACACTTGGGATCTAGTGGATTTACCACCAGGGTGTAAGCCACTAGGCTATAAGTGGATTTTTTGGAAGAAACTGAAAGCTGATGGAACATTGGATAAATATAAAGCCAGACTTGTAATCAAGGGTTACAAACAGCATGAGAAGTTTGACAGTGCTATGCTAGCAAATGGTTTCAAGATAAATGAGTGTGACAAATGTGTCTACTACAAAACCATGGGAAATGCATATGTTATTCTATGTCAGTATGTAGAAGACATGCTCATAGTTGGTAGTGATGAAAGAATAACCAACTCTACCAAGGATATGTTGAGGTCGAAATTCGACATGGAAGATATGGGTCTAGCATATGTGATTTTAGGGATCAAAATTATGAGGTCACCAGAGGGTCTCATGCTAACCCAATCTCACTATGTAGACAAAATTCTTGAGAGATTCAACAAAGATGATTCTGGCATAGCGAGAACACCACTTGACGTGAATTTGCATCTATCAAAGAATAGAGGTGAAGGTGTATCTCAAATCGAATACTCAAGAGTGATTGGAAGTCTGATGTACCTAATAGGTGGTACAAGACCATATATTGCCTACACAATCATCAGATTGAGTAAATACACGAGTAATCCCGGAAAGATCATTGGAAAGCGGTCATAAGAATACTAAGGTATTTGAGGTATACTCATGACTACAGGTTGCATTACACCAGATATCCAGAAGTTATAGAAGGGTACTATGAAGCAAATTGGATATCTGGCATCAAGGACTCCAAATCCACTAGTGTGTATGTTTTCACACTAGATGGAGCAGCAATTTCGTGGAAATCTTCTAAACAAACAGTGATGGCTCAATCCACAATGGAATCGGAATTCATCGCTTTAGATAAATGTGGAGAAGAAGCAGAATGACTCCTCCAATTCACAGAGGATATTCCAAAATGGCCAAAACCTGTGTCGGCCATTAGCATACATTGTGATAGTCAATCTGCAATTGGCAGGTAAAAAGCCATATGTACAATGGTAAGTCTCGACATATACGTCGAAGACAAAATACCATAAGACAATTACTCTCAACAAGAATTATCACTATTGATTACGTGAAGTCAAAGGATAATATTGCGGATCCAGTAACCAAAGGGTTAAATCGCGAGCTAGTTGATAAATCATCGAGAGGAATGGGATTATTGCCCATGGAAAAAATGGCTAATATGATGGAAACCCAACATAGTTGACTAGAGTTCCCAAGATTTAGGTTCAAAGTGACAACTAAATCATAATAACTGGATAGGATCAGTATGGGGTTCACCCCTACCTATCCCTATGATGAAAACAGTGATACCCGTAAGGAAAGAAAGGTTAAGCTATTGCTTTTAATGATCCTTACAAGTCGAGTATGATACTCGAACAAAGTAAGACGGGTTACTCTGAAACAAGAAATCACATATGTAATAGAGAAGTGGGACCGCTTCGAACGAGAATTAGTAGCGCAAATTCTTTAGAAACTCTTACAGAACCAGGCAGATGTTCATGGCCAAAAAGAACATAACAGAGAGAAAGGAACAGGTTCAGGAAGGGTATTTGTGAGAGATATATGACCATTTACACAAACAGAAAATAGTTCAAAGACAACGCGTCTACTATTTCCCAGTAAAGTAAATATATTTTGCCAAGGGAAGGTTCAAAGGGTTATACCTACCTATCCTATGGAATACATGACCGCTGAAGCTATCATCATGTCAAAATTCAACGTTAGTTTTTGTTTTATTCAATTTCATTCGTGTGGGGGATTGTTGGAAAATATGGAAAAAGCAGGTTTTCTATAAGGTTTCTGAGCCTCATTTTAAGTCGGACCCACTACTCAGTAGTGTCGGTTCTCGATGGATTTGTATTCTCCAGTGCACGGAGATAAAAATCAAGTACCCATATGCTTAAAATGCCTAAGAGATGAATGAGAAATTAATGCTCAAAGTTGGTACAAAGAACATGGAATACCACATTGCTAGTTTTGGTGTGGCAGAATACCACATTGCTAGTTTTTGGGATTTCATGGGTTCCCAAGGCTATAAATAGAGAATCTCCCTTTCATGAAAAAACACACCAAGACAAGCTATTTCCTTGTCTTCTCTCTTTCTCCCTCTGAAGCTAAAAGCTTTTCTCTTTCTCCCTTTGAAGCTTAATGCTTTTCTAAGTTTTTCGGTGATAATTACGGGCCTTGTTGGTTCGACGAAAGTAGTTATTTATAACTACTAGTGAAATCGTTTTATCCTTGGAGACAGACGTCAGGATTAATAAGAGGGTAAGGCGAATCTATTTTAAGGAAACCGTGTGGTACACGGGATTTGATTTGAATACGTTAAGTATTCGCCCAAAGTAAAAGTGTTTTACTCTTGCAAGTGAATTTTGTCACAGTATTAATGGCCGATCTTAACCTTCCCCTTGCTATTAGGAACGTATATACAAAAGATGTTATAGAGGCCATTTTTAGGGTTCTTATTGGTCCACTTGATGTTAGGAATAGCTGCATTTGGAAGCATACTACAATAGGAACTTATGTTGTTCGCTCAACTTATCATTCTCTGCGGGAGCATCAAGCTATTTTGAATGGCCATACCTTGTCGCACGCCTTCCAACCAACCAATGACTATTGGAAGTGCCTTTGGATGTTGTCTCTCCCTCCCAAGCTAAGTTACTTTCTTTCAAAATGCTCAAATTGCTATATGAGAGAGGATTTTCACACGGAATTGCATTCAAAGCACGACTTGACCGGTGTGTGATGCCTTTAAAGATGATCATTCACTACCTTTTAATTTCCATTGCGAGGATGTTGCTTCTACTTGGAATCTTTTGGGCCTGGGTGTTTCCTCTCCTCAGTAGGATGCATCTTTTGGTTTGCGGTTCTTCAATCTCAAGGATGGATTTCTGTATGTCCAAAATCAGAAGATTGTCTTCTTCATGTTGAACTTTGGTGGCTCCTTCGTCACAGAGTCTATTCCGACGGCATGGGATTACTATTGAAAAGTCTCATGGATAGGTTTACATGTATTATGTAAAGGATTGGAATTTACTTTGTTCTCATTTGGTTCAAGCTAAAGCCTTTGCTCTACTGAATGTCATCTTGTTATCAGTGCAAGACTCAACCCCGACATGTGTGCGCTTGGATTGCCAGGTGTGACAAATGCACTAAAGCATGATCTATTGGGATGAATAGCTTTGAAAAGTTCTAAATGAAATTCCTATTTATTTATCAGGTATTTTCCCATAATACGAAAATAAGATGGATAATTAATAAAAGTAATATTATTGTGACTTATTCCTAAACAAAAAGGGAATATTCTGGGTGTTCTGCTCCTATAAATAGCAGGCCCCCATACCCTCTAAAAAATCCATTTTGAAGAGCAGAAACACGAGAGAGAGTGAGATTCAAAGAGTTTCGAATTTCGCACAAACTGAAGAGCAAAAAAACAAGAGTGGCTGTTTGGATAACGAGGCTGATAGTCTGTTGTGTGGATAACGAGGCAGTGTCGCGAACGTCTTAAAGAGAGCGACCTAGTCCACGACTCAGGCAGATCAGCAACCTAATTTTATTGTTCGGTTTCTAACAATTTTAAGACATTCGGTTTCTGTCATATTTACCGAATAAGATACTGATTTTGGCTGAATTGATTTTTATCGCCGCCATGCCTCTTTTTATTGCCATGGAAAACTTCGAATCGAATTCGGAGGCTATTTGGCAATATGGAGAGATTGGCGAAAAGCAGCTTTTTGGATTGCAGGGCAACTATTGGGAACGCATACATTAAATTCTTTATGGTCGATTAATCAGATTGGGACACGACGATTGGAGCGACGGAGTTAATAAAAACAATGGTAATTCCTTTCGATCTCCCAGGTAGGTTGGAAGCCAAAGCAGGGTCACCCCAATTATTCATTAATGTTTGGGCTTCCAAATGAAAATGAGGCCGAAATATGGAGGCCAGGGGGAGATGGATGGTGACAGTGTCACAGTGACACTGGCCATGGTTCTGCAATTAGTGTTGTCGTTGGCAACAAACGAA